TTAACAGCAACCCAGTTTTGGGTTCAGGATCTGGGGTCTCAAAGCTCGATAAGTGGTGCGCAGTCGGGTTTTGGCGGGCTTCCAAGCCCCAGAATTCAGGGGGCCTCCAACAAATCAAACCCCAACGAGTTCCCATGGATCCTGACCGGATCCTCTAGACAATCCAACTTTTGCTCCATTCGAAGCCATGTGAAAGACGCCCCAGGAATCACCCAGAAGGCCCCAGACATCATGGAGAAGGTCCTCGCCCCAGAAAGCTTGACTTCCAGCCCCAGCTAGCGTACCCACTTCTGCACCACCCTTTGACCCCGAAAACACGTGAGTCTCAAGCGTCCCACGGACCCTCCAACTTTTTTTAGAAAAAGCTATATATATATATACATAAATGTATATATACATGTGTGTTCCCAATACCCCCCCCCAACATACAAAAACAATCGACTTGGTGTTTTCATGAGAACGCCTCGCATGATGCTGGTGTTTTGTGGCCGCTTTCTTGTGTGTCTTCCGAAAAGTGTCCAGGTAACAAGAAATCCCAAATCCTATGATGTACATCGCTTTTGGTACCTGAACACCGAATGTTTAGGCACCTGGACCTTAGGGCAGTTTGAGCGGCTAGAAAGTAAGGCCCTAGGACTGTGAGCTGCAGCGTAGGGGCTATGATCAAGGGCAATTAGGAGGGACCCCTTCTAATTGCATTCGGAATTGGGGTTTAGGGCGTAGGATGCATTCATAGAATCAGGTAGTACCCATGTTAATCCCTGTCGCCTACAGCGGTCCCCATTAAGGGTCCCTCCTAAAGTCCCTAACCCAGATCCCTTGATTAATAAACCCACTCTCCTTAGTAGAGATTATAATAGGGATCCTAATTTCAAGGCCCTGAAAAGGAGGGGGATTATTAATCATGGGTCTACATTAGCTATGAACACCCTAGCATGATCCCCGTGGAAGCCCCCAGAAGAACCGGTAGAATTTCCCCTGAAAATGATAGGGTTTAGGGTTTACGGGGTTTAGGGTTTAGGGTATCCCCACAGGGCCGCTAAAACCCTTCTCAGTTCCGTCCCCTAGTTGGCCGAAGTTCTCAATCATTCTCACAAACTCAAAACTACCTCATTCATAACGGAATTGAAGCATTAACACTTGAGTTCTGGGGTATCAGATATCTAGGCTCTTGGAAATTCATGGGGTTACTTCAAACCCAAAAGCCGTAAACCTACACCCTAAACTCTGAAACCACTAACCCTAGAGAATACCCGAAGCCACTCCGGGGATGCCTGGCCACTACAAAGAAAGTGTTGTGGGGGCCCCTAGTATGGATGAAAAAACTACGGGGGTTGCCCAAAATTAAAGATACTTTGTTGAGGGTTTTTGAGGAGGATTGTCGTATTTGGGGGTATATATTTGGCCCCCCTCCATTATGTCACAGAACTCCCATATTTACAGAAACAGCCTCATGAGAAGAGCCCAGCTGCAAGTGCCGGCGCATGCTCGGCAATGCGCAGATCTTCATCCAGCTCTATCACAGCGTCGCAAGTAAGGTGTAGTAAGGATGACGAAGCATTGAGGTCACATGCCATCTTCTTGTACATAATACCTGGGTTGGCCCCTAAAGCCCTTTGAAAAATATCAGTATATGGGGCCCCTTATTAAAGCCGCAAGGGAAAATGTTGAATGTTTCAGGGGCCCACCCAGATACTATGCTCAGCGCGCTGGCTCAGGGTTGCCTGCACGGAAGCAGCAGCAGTTACCGCTGCGATGAGGCCGCTGATCTCTGCACAGAGGACAATTAGTGGCATCGGCTCTGCAATTGCACGTAGCGCGCACATTATCAAAGGAAGCGTGTTGCAGACTGCCACCAACAAAGTTGACGTAGCAATGCCCGCAGCAGGCAAGCGAATGAAGGCCAGGATGCAAAGGGATATAATCGTGGTATCTTGCGGTAATACATGCCACGGAGAAAGCTGTGCCGTGCTCCACAACGATGTTGCAATGTAGAAGAGGTTGAGAGTGTGCACGTTAAGCAAGGTAGGGAACCATTCCAGCAGGCCGCACCAGGCAAAATATCCAAGAATATTCCAACGGTTCATGGCTGACAGAAGGGGAGAAGAATCCTGCAGCTGCTCACGTAGCCTGGGTGACTGAGAGAACTGGTCAAGACTACCCCTGAACCGGGCACTCTTACAAGGAGGACTGTTCCAAAACATACCCTAGGGGTCCATGTGCCCAAATTTCACGTATATTGGGCCCTAAAGTCTGTACATATAACCTACATCGGCCCATTTAGATCCCTAGGGCTACACAAAAACAGACACCGACACCCAGGAGCATGAAAGCGAGGACTCCAAGGGCAACCAGCGCATACTGCCCTCTGACATATGCCCGTGCCATGCTTAACCGCAGCTGGATGACCCGTTCCTTGACAAGCAGCTCCTCATGTGTGGCCTTAGCAAATACCTGCCTAGCCGCCCTCAAGCAGCTGAGCAATGATATCTTCAGATCACGTCGGTAGTGGAAGATTCCGTAAAGCAGCCTGCATACGAAGAGGATCTCAAATGCGGCGCCGATCACAATGAAGCCGGCACCCACCGGGACATCTGGTGAGTTCAGCGCTGCCATCGTCCAGTTCTTGAGCTACGGTTGAATGCTGAACGTCACATCAAACGTGATACCAACTGCAAACCACAAGTGGTCCGACTGCCGGCTTAGAGTTCCTAGACGATGGTCAGTTGTTACGGTCGTTACCATCTCTGAAATGAAAAGCATCTAGCAACGTATGTTGTCCTGTTGCACGTGATCTATTTGGGTATCCATGCCTGCCATACGGACGCGCGCCTAGAATTAGCGGCGCATGTACGGCTTTCCATCAAAACCTAGGCGTCCTTTGATTGAGAGTCTATACAACAAGCATTGGAATCTGTTTGGATCTATGCTGGCGCCCCCTAGTATGCGGGAATCCGTGGTTATTGTGGGGAAGGTGCGTGGGCTTGCTCTCCTGCTATTTCCTCCGGTCACAACTTAACTTTGAGCTTTGTCAGGTAACTACGCCCAGCCCCCCCACGGAAAATAGATTGAAGGGTTTAGGCTTCAGGGTGGGTATGTCACACGCTGAGTGTACCCTAGCATCGAAGAAAAGCATGAGTCCTACACTTCCCCCACGCGGGTGCAATAAACTCCCTAGTAACCCCATCATACTCATATATTAAGCACCTCCCCACCCCTGTCTGGGGGCGGGGTAGCAGAGTCCGCTGGTGGTATGAAGTCTCAAAGGAACCAGGTGAGCAGTATCCCGGAGGGTAGAGACATGCAAAGACCCTCGACAAGGACTCAAACCCTAAAGCCTACACCGTGAACCCCAAATCCTAAGCCCTGAGATCCCAAGCCTGCCTTTCTAGCCCCCTTGGAAGCCTCAAGTTCACAACAGTGTGCCACCCAGCTTCGCTTGCAATCTAGGTTTCTAAACACAAGAAACAGAAAGGGGAGCAAGAGCCATGAGCCCGGAGAGAATTGGATTGGGTTCCACCTTCGCTTTCAACTTGTTGGAAGTTGCTGCTTTGGACGAAGCTTGAGACAGGGGAGTGGAGAAGAGCTATATGGCATTCCACGGCCCCAGCAATTCTTGAAACCCCGGAAGCGACTCCATGACGGTAACAGGAGTGCCTGGATAAAGGGAGTTCGTCCTTTTGAGTAGATCAAGGGGCAAATACCCCTTTGTTAGAACCGAGTAGGGCGACTTGAGGCAATCCAGGACGGGGGGTTGCTTGGGGGTTGTTGGTGAATCTTGATAAGCTGAGGGTCCAAAGGCGCATACAAACCGTATAGAGTTGGTTCAGGGTTGTGGTAGAGAGCTGTGGGTTCCAAGTACTTTAGGTTTAGGGATGAGGGTTTTGACATAAGCCCTCCAAGGGCGCTAGGTAGGATTTGGGGCCTCAAATGCATACTGTCTCGGTAGTGGGACCCTTAGCGTAGTTACGTGTAGTTACTTGATTTACCATGGACGTGTTCAGACGCGACAGAAATGACCTTGTCGCTGAGACAGAGACTAGCCTTGTAGGAGAACAGATCATCAGGACCTACTTGACGATTCGACACCGAATCCAACAATCAGTTGTTGCGCACAGATGGAAAAATCTCCCAAAGCTGCAGTGACGAGAGTGAGCAGGAGGATTGTTTTAACTTTCTGTTGCAAGATTTCTTCCATCCACTGAATCTTGGCATCGTGCTTTGGAGCGAAATCTGCTGTATACTAACCTTGTGTGTTGCAAGATTTCTTTCATCCATTGCATCTTGGGACATGCTTTGAGCGAATTCTGCTGTATACTAACATAGAGTGTTGCAAGATTTCTCCCATCCACTGAATCTTGGGATCGTGCTTTGGAGCGAATCCTGCTGTGTCAAATTCCTCCAGAAATCTTACCCAAAGGGCCCTCACTGCCTATACAGGGAATATTGACCTAAACCCTATTATTAATTCCTATTATAGAAACACTACATTGTACCATATAGACGGTTATGATCCCTTGGGCTACATATGAGCGGGTTTCAAGGTATTAAATAGCAGGGCTTGGGGGCCTTAGGTCAGCCTTCTGTATGGGCAGTACAGCAGGATTATCGAAGGTGACCTTCGAGTTGCCCCCCGTGTTGTGTGGGAATGTAACACATTGGGGTGGGGGGTCGCATTTTTGCAGCAGGGGGAGAAGAGAGGACACATACCACACAACATCGGTGATTTTACATACGTTGGGGCCCAAGCCCTGGCCATTGAATCCCACTCTAGGGTCTGGATCTTCCGAGTTCGTGGGTGATATCGTAGCAGGCATGTAGGATGGGTGCTAAACCTACCTTTGGTTAGCTGGGAATCAAGTAATGGAAAAGAAAATGGAAGCTACTATAGTGGGTTGGTTATATAGGGACTACCATAAGGATCCATTCCTTCATTCCTAGCTAACTTGAGGTAAGCAAAGACAGGGTGCTGACTTTAGGTTGCGAGTCGATTTGATCCTGATTCCTACCTGGATCTCAAGAAAATGACACAAAGCCCCTGAAAATGGTCGAACAGGCTGGGAAAATGTGTAAACTTGAATCTCAGGCTTCAAGTAAAACCTGCAAGCTCTATAAAGACACTTGAAACGACTCTTGATCCAAAGCCCGAAGTAGCACCTCCTCCCAGCTAACGCCGCCAGACACCGACATGAAGAGGCTCAGCATCGTGTATCCGACCGAACCTAGATGAGGGGTGTCTTAACAATGGATTGCCCTAAACCCATAATACTGTTGATGGAGGAAATCTTGCACACTTAGGGTTACTAAACTACTATAATTCCTAGGGATTCTAGAACTTAAGGTGGTGCAAGATTATCTCCATCAACAGTAGGGTAGTGTTCTACATGCCCTTGGGGTTTAGGGTGGGTTTGGGGGCCTCTGAGTTTGGGATTTCATACATGGTTCAAGGGCAGCCTAACCCAGTCCTTCAAGGGTTGCTAGGGATGAATGCAGGGTATGTAGGGCGTACTATAGGATGCATACGGATTAAATGGGTCCTGTATGGATCGTATAGCGCATATACCTTGACCCCTATACCCTACCCTTTTTTGGTTACCTGTTTTCATGTCTGGCATCTTCCTTTTACAAAGTTGAGTAGCCCAAGAAAGAGAAGGTTGTAGAGGTCTAGGTCGTATACAAACTACTTGGACTGCTGAGGTTTTCTAGTGATTACACAGATTTGTCGGTGATGTCTTGAGGAGCGGGTCCTGTGCTGGGCAAATCCCATCTGGAACCGAGATACCTCCTTCATAGACCCGATGGACCCTAAGTACCTGCATGGTGCAATGTAGGGCTTCCATACGAGGAATTCATAAGATGGTTTTGGTCAGTATTCCCTTTGTAGGTACTGAGGACCTAGGACCTAGGACCCTTCGCGCTTCAGTTTCACACAAGACTCATCATACGTATGAAAGGTCTTCAGGCCAAGCGTAAACCCGCAGTGCAGAGTCTGAGAGACATGTGATATTCCTGCATCCTGATATACTCTAAGTCTGAAAGCTAGGCTTCAGCATGAGGCAGTACGTGGTTCTTATAGGGATTACGTATTTTGGGGGTTCGGAGTCAAGTGGCAGGTGGTCTTGGGGCCTGAAGCCTAGTCTTGTCAAAGCTGCTTATACAGGACTATATCATCCCCTCATAATGGAGAAGCAAATGGCAAAGAATATGGAAAATAAAATGGAAGCTGGGGGAATATCAGGATTTAAGGAACTTAATTGAAGTCACTCTCTTGCGCGGTTTCTCAACGAGTCTTAAGTAGGGGCTTACAGGGACCCTTTATACATGGGGATTACACAAGGATTATGAGGCTTGGTTTCTATGTAATGTCTCTACAATTAATTCTACAATATGGATGCGTTCGAGACTCTCATGTGGGAGTTTCTCAAAATAATCCCCATAGAACCTTATCAAGGATCTCCATATCCTGCTCATAACTCCTTTTTCTATATCTACTCCCTTAAGGTCCTGAGCAGCCCCCGTGTTTTGAACAAATCCCATGTCAGAATCTAACAGGATCAATTCGCGTCAGCATCGAGCTGACTGTAAGTTTTGCTTGCGCCTATGGCTTACCCTTTGATGAGCTTACGCACCCTGGCTCGAAATAAGCATCATCTGTACCTGGACCCCCCCAAAGTATGTGGGCATTCCCAAAATTAGGGTCCCATTCTGGTACCGCTACATATTACAAAAAGGGCCCATCATTTGAGAATGACCCATGTTGAGTAGCAGCGTTTCGGACATTCTTCACGGATTTCGGGCGATTTTTGTCGCTTACTATTCCCTGATGGTCCAAGGACCCAAATAATAGGGCTTTAGGGCCCCAACACTATACTATCAATGGTATTTGGG